TGCCCTTTCTGGCAACAAGATAAACAGGTTCATCGAGAGGTTTGGCTCATTGGAGTATAAAGCCCTTCCTAACCACAGTGCTCACCTCCATCCACCCCGGGATCCCAGCCCCGAGGAGGGTACAGTGGCAGGCATTGTGTGCTCAGCAAGGTTTCACACCCACTGGGCATCTGAAACAGAGACGCTGTTTACACTGCAAAGATCTCTCCAGACCTGCTGGCCCTTGCCAAGATGGCTGCCTCACATCTGCCCCCACTGGGCTGCAGAAACCTCGCCATTGAAACTCCTGAAACTACAGGACAGGTGGCAACTACTGGCTGGGCAAAAGGCTAATTTCCAGAACCTCAGAGCAGAGGGGGGCTGTGCTGGCATCTTCTAAGAAGCTGATTCTCAGAAACATTTCTTCCATGATCATTCCTATTTTTAGGACAGTTCCAAACCTCCAGAGCCACTGTTATCCCTTCCCCCTTGATGGGCCAGCTGAAGGGTTTCCCAGTGACTTGTCAAATGCTCTTAACTTAGTATTTATTTGTTTGGAATTTTCCAACCAGAAAGGTTTAGCTTTATTTATTTTCTTTATTATTACTTTTTTTTTTTTTTTGGCAGTTATTTTGGCTGGGGCTGGGTTTGAACCCGCCACCTCCAGCATATGGCACCTTACTCCTTTGAGCCACAGGAGTCACCCAGGTTTAGCTTTACTTTTTAAGCACATGCTGGTAAAGACAGGAGCACTGCAATGTTACTAACTGTAACCAAAAGCACGCGATAGCTTGATAATTTGCTCACATACAGAAAAAGCCAATTGGTTGCTGCCTCTGCTATCAGGGTCTCATCTAAGTTAATGTGGACAATTGTGTCTTGCCAACAAACCAAACGGAGCATTGAATGCGAAGAATTCACTTTAGCCAAAAATGTTGATCAACTTTGTTCTGTGGCTTGATGTGAATCAAATCCTCGGAAACCGAGAAATAGCATTATTCTCTCCTGAGAGAGACAAGACCCATTTTTCCCTTGGAGTCCAAAATTTTGGTCACCCAGGAACACACCCCTATTTTTTAACAAATGTATCAAAACAATTCAAGGGGAATGATAACCATTTTAGCCATTGTTCCTAGAACAATTTAATATCTTCCATAAGAAAAGAAAATTTAAAAGAAAAAAGAAACTCACCCCCTATGACACGGTACATGTAAAAATTGCTTTGAAAAGGATCACAGACCTGAATGGAAGAGCTTAAACTATAAAAGTTTTATGTTCCTAGTTCACAGCAAACAATAATCATGCAAAACACATTGGTAAAATGAACTTCATCTTGGAAGTTCTTCTGCTCTTGGGAAGATACTGTTTAGAGAACTAACAGGCAAGTCACAGATTGGAAGAAGGTATTCACGATACATATATCTAGTGAAGAACAGGTATCCATAATATATAAAGAACTTCTAAAATTCAATAGTAAAAAGACAAGCAACCTAATTTAAAAATAAGAAAAGGACTTGAACAGAAAGATATATGAATGATTAGCAGTCGCATAAAAAGTACTTATTATTACTTGTCATCAGGAAAATGCAAATTAAAAGTACAATGATATGTTGCTGGTCCTCCACTGGAAGGGCTAAAAGTTTTAAATGGTGGTGAGGAGCCAGAACAAGCAGAACTCCTATATGCAGCCGCTGGAAATGTAAGATAATTCAGCTACTTCAGAAAACCGTGTAACAGTTTCTTACCAAGTAAAAAACACATCTATTCTATGATGTAGCAATTCTACTGTCTTTTCAAGAGAAATGAAAACATATGTTCACAAAAGGACTCAGGATGTTCAAGAAATTTCATTCATCATAACTAAAAACTAGGAACAAACATCCACCAATAGAAGTGCAGATAAACGTTTGTATATTCATAAAGTGGAATACTACTCACTAATAAAAAGAAATGAATGAGATACACTAGAGGTGAATGTCAAAATTATTGTGGAGAATAAAAGAAGCTACACACAAGAGCTTATGATTCTACTTATGTGACCCTGTAGAACATGTAGAACTAATCCATAGTGTAAGGAGGCCGTGTGACAGAGAGGGCTTTGACCTTACACGGAGAGAAAGGGAAGGTCAGCCATCCCAGCACCCAGGTGAGCCTAGCCCAGTGGGCAGAATGATGAGAAATAATAAAATGGCTGTTTTAAGTCACTAGCTCTTGGAGGGATTTGTTATGTGGCAATAGACAACAAGAATTGCTGCTTTCCTAATGGAATTCTTAGAACTAAGTGGTGTGACACTTGTGGAAGGTCTTTGTAAAAGGACAAGCATTTGTGAGGGGCTGTTATTTCTGGGTGTAGGTGCAGGTTAGAGTTCCTGCTCATGTGCAGAGATATGTCCATTTGAGAGTTATCCTGTGGAACAGAGAGTCTTACCATCCAACCAATATAACCTTCGTTATCTTCCATCTCCTTTCTCCCTCGCACATGGCCAGCCATTCACTGTTGCTTCTGGAGAGGAGGGAGGGAAGAGAAGGAGAAGAGGGAGAGGAAGAGAGTGGGCTGGTCAACGCTTACGATTCTAATGTTTAGACTCCACTAAATACATTTGAAGTTTGAGAAGACTAAGCTGGAGAGAAGGGAGAGGGAGTCACCACGGTCTAATAAGCTAGACCTCAACCTGGTCCAGGTCCAGTGTTGCTTTAGGCCCAGAGGGATTGGACACTGGTTTATCAATCAGGATGCCAGTTACTCATTTGTAATGAGGGATGCAATTTCCCAGCCACGGTGTTAGTCTCCTGTTGTAGGAAGATTACTCTGGGAAACCAGATTACTTGAACTGGTAAGAGTTTCATGTCCGGAAACATGGTGAAACGTGGAGAACCACGAGCTCGGGGAGCATTTGGGGTGTGCTGAGTAATGTTAGTGGATTGCTATACAAAGCCTGGGTTATGCACCTTTTTGTGCACCTGGAATTTGTAATCTATTTCTAACCAGACAGAGAGGATCCTCTCAGCCCTCTGTTTACAGGCTACCAGATGTGGGGAAGTGAATTCAAGCAGGTAGCCTCCCCCTTCCAAGAGGATGGTGGAGATGGGGACCCCTTCTTTTATGAAAAACAATGTAATAGAATTCCGGGATTTGAACAGCTCATGAAAGACCATTAGCTCCAAGCCCAGCTTGGCTAACTTCTCTGGATCCCTCCCCTGATAGAAGTGCCCATGTCACCTTCTTCTCTCCATTTCTGCTCTTCTAAGACTGTATTATAATGTTGGTTTAAATGTCAGACACTAAACTATGAGTTCTTGAAGGTTAGAATTATGTCTTATTCATCTTTTTTCACCAGTCCCAAAATAGTCGCTGGCATACAGTGGTGCTCAAATAATTCACATGGCATTAACTAAAAATCTGATGTTTTTTAGAACTTGGCTGAAATCTGAAACATTGCTACATCATCTCACTTAGAATGTTGCCTTACCCTTTTGTCGTAATTTCAGAGAGGAGGAATGCAGAGATCGCTAGATCGGATGTCCTTTGCAGCTCAGGGAGGAAACAAGGAGGGCGCCTGCCAGAGTCCCCCTACCACGGTACTCTGTGCCACTCAGCAGCTCTCCAGATCTCCTGGTTTTCGGGCGCCTCCTCTCACACTCAGAGCTCCTGGGGTGCTTCAGCCAAGTCAATCTCACTAAGACTCCACCACATCCCACCCCAGGGACTCAGCGTAGAGTCATGAAGACTTATATCTCACCGATATAAGGTTTTAATTTGTGCCCATTCTTACAGACTCCCAGATGCAGCCACCCTAGTCTTGGAAGAGGGTGGAGGGGAGGGGAGAGGGGAAGAACCGGCCCCCAGGCCCGGAGCTCTCTGCGGCTGGATGCAGCGCCCCCACCACGCCAAGTGGGAAAGCCGCCCTACACCTGGCGGCTCACGCAGCTCTTGGGAGATCAGGAGAGCCGCGGGGTCAAACTGGCCGAGGGAGGCGCTGCAGCAGCCGAGACAGCAATGAATGCAGAAACCCTTTAGGGAATACTTTAAACAGTTATTTTAATTACTGTGCAGACCTTGTAAATTGACCCTAGCGCAGTCACCTGAACTCATCAGGAGTAAATATCCCTAAAATTCCATTCAGCTGTGTGTCTCTCTCCTGCCTCTCTCTCTCTCCCTTTCAGGCAAATGCCCACACCCTCTGCAAGGGTGGGAAACAGTCCACAGCAGCTCCGTCGCCCGCTGCTCGCTTTGCTCCACTCCTAGGGAGCAGTCATTTGGGGGTGGTTGTGGGAGCAGGACAAGGAAGAAGGCTTTATGCTTGGCTGGGACCAAGAGAATATTTAGAAGAGTTTTCCCTTCAATTCAGGCTACACCCGTCATCTCAAACTTGGATGCTCTTTGAAACCACCCAGGGAGCTTTAAAAACCGTTAATGCTAGCTCTGGGATAAGATTCCAGAGGTGCTGATTTAATTGACCTGGGATGCGGCCTGGGCATCGCGATTTTTTTTTAATTCCCCAGGTTGAAAAGTATGGATATTAATTCCTCATTCCTCTTTCCAGCTTGACACAAAATAGATTCTGAGCCCAGGCCCATGGCCCAGGGAATCCGGCACCTGCTCCCCTCGCAGCTCTTCCGCACAGCAAGGTCCCAGAAAATCCGTGCGCGCGGTGATGCTAAACACGCGGCGGCGGGGCGGAGGGGCGGTGAGGCGGGCGGGCCAGGTGGGCGGTGCCACCCGTGGCCCCGCCCCCGCACGCCTATGGGCGCGCGGTGCGGGCCCTGACGTCACTCTTGTCAGGGCAGCGGCACATGGGCTGCCGGATGCGCTGAGCCGGGCGCTGCGGGG